TCTCAAGCAGTGGCGAAGCGTCCTGGCTCGCCTACAGGCCCGCCAAAGAAGATTATAAGGATATGTTGTGGTCTGCACGAGATGTTCTCAGAACCTCTCTAGCTGAGGGTGTGTTGTTTGAAAACATCGGCGATATGTTCTAAGAACATTGCTTTTGTTAGATGAACGCTCTCTCGTTCGAAGAAAAATTCGTGGTAGACACAGAGGACTGCTGGAACGGTCGGTCCTCGCCCAATACAGTGGAGACCCATGCCAAGAGACACCCTGATTGCCTCCAGGGTGCCCTAGGTTTCTTTAGTTGTCGATGGTTTTGCTATGGAAAGCGTGACGTTCCCACACCAAAGAAGATCCATGAACGTCCTGGGGTCTCAGGGTTGGGCTTCTTGTGGAAGGGTTCTTGTGATCGAGCCCCCACTGCAATTAGGCGAAAGAACATGTCCCCGGAACGGGCTCCATGGGCACACGTTTTCTATGTTTTTACCCCGCAGCGCACCGATGACAGTGAGCCCGCGCACACGGCAGCAGGCTGAAGCAAAACACGCCCGGCGGCGCAATTTAAGCATCAGCAATGGAGGAAGAGGATGAGGAGGAGGAGGAGGAGGAGGAAGAGAAGGAGGAGGAGGAATGTGGGGAGGAGGAGGAGGAGGAGGAGGAGGAGGAGGACGGGGAGGAGGAGGAGGAGGGGCAGGAGGAGGAGAAAGAGGAGGAGGAGGAGGATGAAGGACGAGGACGTTGTGGAACAAAAAATGCTGTAGGAGAGGGCCGATCCCTGCGGGAGTTCTCGGACGTCCCTGCGGCTCCTCGTCGCCACGGTGGGGCGCGGCCCGAGGGAGGATTAGGTCGGGCGTGTCCCTCTACAGGAGGGATATTCAGAAATAGTGCAGAAATAGTCTGGAGACGATTTGTTTTATATACAAAGTATGTTGACGTTGTTCTGTTTTTTTATATTTTTAATAATCGTCCCAAATCCGCCTGTAGGGGGACATGCCCGACCTACGTAATGGGAGGGGTCCAGGGGACGCGCTGAAGCGGGCCTCTGTTGGCCAGCACGGGGCGAGGGCTGGCCTCTCGCAGGCGAGGGGTGTTCCTCCCCCTCCTCCTCCTCCTCCTCCTCCACCTCATCCTCCTCCTCCTCCTCCCCCTCCTCCTCCTCCTCATCCTCCTCCTCCTCCTCCCCTCCCCACTCCACCTCCTCCTCCGCCTCCCCTCCTCCTCCTCCTCCTCCTCCTCCTCCTCCTCCTCCTCTCCTCCCACCTCCTCCTCCCGCCCCTCCTCCTCCTCCTCCTCCTCCTCCTCCTCCTCCCCACCCCTCCTCCTCCTCCTCCTCCTCCTCCTCCTCCTCCTCCTCCTCCTCCTCCTCCTCCTCCGCCTCCTCCCTCCTCCTCCTCCCCTCCTCCTCCTCCTTCCTCACTCCCTCCTCCTCCTGCTTCTCCTCCTCCTCCTCCTCCTCCTCCACCTCCTCCTCCTCCTCCTCCTCCTCCTCCTCAGTTCCTCCTCCTCCTCCACACCCCTCCTCCTCCTTCCCCCCCACACTCCTCCTCCTCCCTCACACCCATTTCCTCCGCACTCCTCCCCTCCTTCTTCCTCCTCCTCCGCCCCCTCCTCCTCCTCCTCCTCCTCCTCCTCCTCCTCCTCCTCCTCCTCCTCCTCCCCCTCCCCGCTCCTCCTCCTCCCCACCTCCTCCACCCTCCTCCTCCTCCTCCTCCTGCCTCCTCACTCCACCTCCCTCCTCCCCTCCTCCTCCTCCTCCTCCGCCCCCTCCTCCTCCTCCTCCTCCTCCTCCTCCTCCTCCCTCCTCCTCCCTCCTACTCCTCCTCCTCCTCCCTCCTCCTCCTCCTCCTCCACCTCCTCCTCCTCCTCCTCCTCCTCCTCCTCCTCCTCCTCCTCCTCCTCCTCCTCCCCCTCCCCCTTCCTCCCCCTCCTCCTCCCTCCTCCCGATTCGGAGGGTCCGTGGACGACGTATCAAAGCCCTCTGGCCCCTTGGTGAGAAGCCGTTTGCCTTCCTGCAAGGCCGCCCCCCTCAATTCACCATCGATCTGCTCAAATCCTGCCCTGGCGGGGTCCATCCTGGCCCGTTCTCTCGGGCGTCGAATAATGAATGGAGGGTGCGATAAATCCGGGGGGGGGGGAAGAAAAGTGCACCTTTTGTACCCTAAAGGGACCCGAAAGGGGCACAAAAGGTGCACCACGTTTCGCCACCCATCGATCGCATCCCTCTTGAGTTGACGCCCGATTTCCCGAGTCGCTTCCAAAACGGCGACGACGTCGCCGCCGCCGCCGCCCCCAGACCCCCCACGTCGTGACTGATGGGTTCGCCGCGCGGGCCCGGGGAGCTCGACCCCCTCCCGGGGCCGGCTCTTCCCTGGGACTCTTCCGGACGGCCCATGGATCGGCGCGACCGAAGTAGGTTCAGGAGGAGAAAAAAAAACAGACACAATTAATCGTCGATCCCCCAGAAAATATACGAAAATATTGGAATTGGGGGGAAAGCAGAAACCCAGAAAATATGTGAAAATATGGGGGATCCTTTTATTTGTGTGTATTTATTTGTGTGTCCCAGGGCCCCTTCATAGGTACGGAAACAATGGCACAAAGTCCAGGAGTTGTTCTTGTCCGTTCTGACCTGGACTCCCTGTCGGTGCCGCCGCGGACGACGTCCATTGGAGAGAGTTCAGGAGCGCTCTCAGAGCGTTCCGGAACGCTGTGAGAAGGCCGCGGCGCCCGAGACATCTTCCAGAGCCGCCAGATCCCAGAGATTCGATTTGTCCTCACGCGATTTGATCCGCGTGTTATGAGGTGAAAACCTGTTTTAGCCTTGTTCACCCGAAAGACTTTCGAGCACCAGGGGAGTACCGAATGTTTAGGGTTTTCGCGAGTCGGGCCCTGGAAGGCGACACTCTTTCTCGCACTGTTTCGATACTTTTCTGGGTGCTCGAAATTATGTTTGGGATGCGGTCCTCCAATATGATGGGAGCAGCATACTCCGCGTCCTGGCTTCGTCTCACACCAGCGGCCGCTGTCGGCTTCGTGCCCGTGACCTCCGAGCCCACTTCGAGCGTACAGGCTGGACCCAGAGCCGGCCTCCAGACGCCGACAACGTTGAAAGGCCGATCGTGGCGTCGCCGTCGTCGACGTCGTCGTCGCAGTCGCCGTCGCCGTCGCCGTCGCCGTCGTCGTCGGCGTCGTCGTCGTCGTCGCCGTCGCCGTCGCTGTCGCCGCCGCCGTCGTCGTCGTCGTCGGCGTCGGCGTCGGCGTGGTCGCGCCGCCGAGGAACGCGGTGGCCGTGGCCCTGTCCGAGATGGTGTTCCTGTTCGACGCGGCCACGGGGCGCACGGAGACCCCCCCCGGGGCCTCGGCGGCCTGGGCCTGCCAGTCCATCCGCGAGGCGGCGCGAGCCTCCGACCAACGGAGGTTCCACCGCGGCTTGGGGCCGCGTTCGGCCTCTGGGGGCCCTCGCCGGGCCTCGGGAGCGTCAATCAGCCACGCGCAGAGGGGGGTGGGGGGGGGGGGGGGGGCTTCTTAGAAGCACCCCTGCTTCTTAGAAGGCGCGGGCCTTATCTATAGATGTAAGGCCGGCGCCTCTAGAGCAGCCTCCTTCTAAGAAGCCTCCCCCCTCCCCCCACCCCCTTGTGCGCGCCGCCAAGTCAAAGAACGATTCCGGACGAAAAAGAAAGCCGACCCTGGGGAAGTCTGGTCCGGATCTCCCGGGGGCCAACGCAGGGGAAGAATTGGAGCAGTCAGATGTGTGGGACCCCATTTGCTCGGATCCCCCTCCCAGACATCCGACGTCCTGACTTCATGGGTACGCGGTCCCCAAGAGTCTCGACCCGGTGCTTCATCCGTAGTAGTTGTTTGACGGTCCCGGGGCCCAGCGAGGGCCCCGAGAGCTATGATGCTCCAATTTATTTAGCCTTGACCACCTGAAAGAATTTCGAGCACCAGGAAAGTATCAACATTTTAAGGTTTTCGCGAGTCGGGCCCTGGGAGGCGACACTCGTTCTCGCACTGTTTCGATACTTTTCAGGGTGCTCGAAAGTATGTCTGTGATGTGGTCCTTAAGGTACGACGGGAGCAATAGAACCCGAGAGAGGCCTAACACGAGGAGAAACTTCCCGTCCTGATTTTGCTCCACGACGCGAGCTTGTCTGGGAAGCATGCGAGCTTGGTAGCTGTTTGCACAGCACAGATAGTTTGTCGGTCGCAGCTCTGGTAGCAGACCGATCTCAGACGTCTCGATACTGCAGACAAGCGCTCGTGATCAGTTCCATTCGAACAGTCTGCTTCCCAGCTTCGCAGCTTGCCTACAGCTCCAATTAAGTAGAGAAAACCAGCACCGCCTATCTAAACTGGAAGCCGGGCCCGAGGGCACCGAGCCCGAGGTTTCTCGCGGCGCCCCTTGGCCTCCTCTGGAGGCCCGCCCTCGGGCCCCTAGGGCCTGGGATGCAGAGAGCCCGCCCGCCATTCGTCTGGGGCGTCTGGCCAGGAGGAGGAGGAGGAGGGGGAGGAGGAGGGGGGGTTGGAAGAGGAGGAGGAGGAGGAGGAGGAGGAGGAGGAGGAGGAGGAGGAGGGAGGAGGAGGAGTTGGAGGAGGAGGAGGAGGAGGATGCGCCGGCCCGGCAGGCCCGGGGGCGTCCTTGGCCGCGCTCGCCCCGAGGAGCAGCTGGTCTCGCTGCCCCGCGGCAACGCCACGGCGCTGCGCTGGACCGGCGAGGGCGTGCACGTCGGCGTGGGCACCTCCTTCGGCGAGGCGCCCTTCGGCTCGTTTCGGGGGGGGTCCGCGCGCGCGCGGCTGGCCGGCGGGAGCGGTGAGTGTCTCCACTCCCCCCTCCTGTCCTTCGCGGCCGCGTCGCCCCGCGCGCCCCTCCTCTTGCAGCCGGACAGTGAGAGCCAGACCGAGATAATTACGCTACCGAGGAACCCACATACTTATATTGATGGCTCGAGTGATGATAGCTGAAGTGAAGCATGTGAGAATGATGTTGGTGGCCATTCCCTGCGCACCCCCTATGGTGTCGAGAAAGTGCCACGCCTGTTGCGCCCTGGACGACCGGCTCGGATAGCGGCCGCGCTCAGAGACCACCCTGCGGACCCCGTAAGGTTATGATAATATGCCACGCCTGCTCCGCCAGCGTTCCTCTGTGCCCTGAGCACGACCGGCACGGATAGCAAACTTGCGTACCGATGCGCCCTGAGCACCACCATCACGGATAGAGGCCGCGCTCAAGGACCACCCCGTGCGCCCCCCCTGTGGTGTCGAGAGTATGCCATGCTTGCTATGCCCTGGACGACCGTCACGGACAGCATGAACGACTGGCACGGATGGCGGCCGCGCTCAGGGACCACCCCCTGCGCACCCCCTACGGTGTCGGGAAAGTGCCACTCTTGCTATGCCCTGGACGACCGGCACGGATAGCGGCCGCGCTCGGGGACCATTCCCTGCGCACCCTCTCTGGCGTCGAGAAAGTGCCACGCGTGCTATGTCTTACGCCATGGCCCGCATAGACGCCGCGCTCGGGGACCACCCCCTGCGCACCCCCTATGGTGTCGGGAAACAGCCACGCCTGCTATGCCCGCGCCATGGCCCGCATAGACGCCGCGCTCGGGGACCAGTCCCTGCGCACCCCCTCTGGCGTCGAGAAAGTGCCACGCGTGCTATGCCCTGCGCCATGGCCCGCATAGACGCCGCGCTCGGGGACCACCCCATGCGCACCCCCTATAGTGTCGAGAAACTGCCACGCCTGCTTTTCACTGCGCCATGGCCCGCGTAGACGCCGCACTCGGGGACCACCCCCGGCGCACCCCCTATGGTGTCGGGAAACAGCCACGCGTGCTATGTCCTGCGCCATGACCCGCATAGACGCCGCGTTCGGGGACCACCACCTGCGCACCCCCTCTGGCGTCGAGAAAGTGCCACGCGTGCTATGCCCTGCACCATGGCCCGCATAGACGCCGCGCTCGGGGACCACCCCCTGCGCACCCCCTATAGTGTCGAGAAAATGCCACGCCTGCTTTTCCCTGCGCCGTGGCCCGCATAGACGCCGCGCTCGGGGACGACCTCCGGCGCACCCCATTTGGCGTCGAGAGAGTGCCACGCCTGCTATGCCCTGCGCCATGGCCCGCATAGACGCCGCGCTCGGGGACCACCCTCGGCGCACCACCGATGGTGCCGAGAAAATGCCACGCGTGCTATGTCCTGCGACATGGCCCGCATAGACGCCGCGCTCGGGGACCACCCCCCGCGCACCCCCGATGGTGTCGAGAAAGTACGACGCGTGCTATTCCCTGCGCCATGGCCCGCATAGACGCCGCCCTCAGGGACCACCCCCTGCGCACCCCCTAATTATGGTGTCGACAAAACCCCACGCCCGCTGTGCCCTGGACGACCGTCGTGCTGTGCTGTGCTGAGCAGTGCTGTGCTGTGCTGAGCTATGCTGCGCTGTGTGAGAATGAGAAGGAGAAGGAGGAGGGGAGGTGAGTGAGGGTCGCGGGTGCGACGCGGCAGGGATGAAAACCCAAACCAAACGAAACATGCGAGAAAAATATCGAGGTCGGTTGGGGGAGGGTACCCAAGAGTTGTTCGTGCTTGCGGGACGTTTTGCGCATCCTGGGGGAGGGCATCTTCAAATGTTATTCGAATGTTATTCAGCTTGGCCGGCGGAGGGTCTCACGTCCTTGAAGGGTGTTCTTCTGCCCTAGGTCCGACCGTAGTTTGCCGAGCGCCCCCGGCAACTCGGGCGCCCGTGCGGATTGCGTTTGCCGTGCCGCGACGATAAGCTTGTTCCAGGGCCACCTAAAACCAAAACGCCGTTAACCAGGGCAGTCGTGCCTTACTACTCGAACTGTTTCCACGACCATGTATGTGAGTATTACGAGTATTCTTATCACTAGCACGACTACTACTACTACTACTACTACTACTACTACTACTACTACTACTACTACTGCTACTACTACTACTGTTACTACTTTTACTCCTACTACTACTACTACTACTACTACTACTACTACTACTACTACTACTACTACGACGACTACTACTACTACTACTACTACTACGACTACTACTACTACTACTACTACTACTACTACTACTACTACTACTACTACTCTACTACTACTACTCTACACTACAACTACTACTACTACTACTACTACTACTACTACTACTACTACTACTACTACTTACTACTAACCACTACTACTACTACTACGACTACTCTACTACTACTACTATACTATACTACGACTACTTACTACTACTACTACGACTACTACTACGACTACTACTACGGACTACTACAACTACTACGACTACTACTACTACTACTACTACTACTACTACTACTACTGCTACTACTACTACTACTAACTACTACTACTAACTACTACTACTACTACTACTACTACTACTACTACTACTACTACTACTACTACTACTACTACTACTTACGACTACGACTAGACTACTACTACTACTACTACTACTACTACTACTACTACTACTACTACTACTATTACTACAAATACTACGACTACAACTACTACCACCACCACCACCACCACCACCACCACCACCACCACCACTACTACTACTACTACTACTACTGCTACTACTACTACTACTACCTCTACTACCTCTACTACTACCTCTACTACACTACTACTACCTCTACTACTACTACTACTACTACTACTACTACTACCACGACTACTAGTACAACTACTACTCCTACTACTACTACTACTACTACTACGACTACTACTACTACTACTACTACTACCATGCGACTACTCCTATTATTACGACTACTACTACTACTACTACTACTACTACTGTGTCTTCGTCTTATGCTACCATTATTACTACTATTACAACTACAAATACAACACCAACTACTACGACTGCTAAAACTACTACTAAAACTACTACTACTACTACTACTACTACCAATAGTAGTACTACTACTGTTATTACTACTACTACTACTACTACTACTACTACTGCTGCTGCTACTACTACTATTACGACTACTACTACTACCATGACTACTACTACTACTACACTACTACTACTACACTACTCACTACTACTTCTTTCTACTAACTACTACTACTACTACTACCACTACTACTACTACCCTACTACTACTACTACTACTACTACTACGACTTACTAACTACTACTACTACTACTACTACTAACTACTAACGACTAACTTAATACTACTAACTACTACTACTAACTACGCTACTACTAACTACTACTACTACTACTACTACCACCACCACCACCACTACTACTACTACGACTACTACTA